ACACTAAGCAATAAATGAAGTTATATGAAGAAACAAAGATCTTTGGTAAATGTAACTACATGGGCAAGTACAAAAAATAGCATTATCATATTTTCAGTTTGTAACTCTATACGTTATTTTCTATGTAAAAACAAATGTGTATAAAATACATGACATATAATTAAAAATATACGTTATAGGGCAGGTAATATACACAGATATAATCTGTGAGGACAACAACATAAACTGTGGAGGGTCAAGAGAGGTGTATAGTGCACAGTTTTTTTGCTATTGAAGTTCACTTGCTATCAATTCAAACCATATTGCTATACATTTAGGATGTTAAACTTAATTCTCATGGTAACCTAAAATGAAATACAATGCCCCCGTCTATTTTCCATAACCTCCCCAAAATGCTATCAGATTATGAATCCATAAAGGGATTAATTCGATGCTTAGGTGAGAGCCCTCAGAGTCTAATCACCAACTTGTTTTCTTGCCATTGCTCTGGTTTTATTTTCCTTCTTTCACAATTCTTCAATAATTCATTTATTGAGACTCTATAAATAATATCTCTATTAGTCCCTAAATACTTGAAAATATCTTTATTTTGCTATCTTTCTCTCTCGCTTGATTGTTTACACATAAAATTCTAAAATTTCATAAAATTAAGTTGGGAATTACTTTTCAATTTTTTTTCAATATTTTCAGACATTATTTCACTGTCAAAGGCATCTACTGTTACTGGTGAGAAATCTTTCAGTTTAATTATATTTTCTTTGCAGACACATTTGTCTTTCATCTCTTATAGATTTTAAGATGTTTAAAATATCTTTGGTGATGTGCAGGTTCATTATGACATATTTTGCCTAGAAATCACTTTGATTGATCCTTCAGTTTAATGATTCATCTGTTATCTTTTTTTGATTAAAATACTTCTTTAAATATTGCTTTCTCCTGATTTTTGTTCTGTCTTCCTATAACTTTTATTAGATATAAATTGGATCTTCCCATTCTATCCACCATGCATCTCAACTTCTCTTCTACCTTTCCATATTCTTTACTACTCTCTGGTATGATTTCCTCTATTTCTGTTTCAAAATAGATGATTTTTTTTTCTTCACCTGCATTTGTTTACTCTTCATCCCATCTTCCCCTGATAAGTGTATTTTTTTCATATACGTCAGTTCATTTTCCATACTGACCTGTTCCTGGACTTGGGATTTTATTTATTCCTTGAACTTTTAAGGTACATATTTTTATAGCCTCTTTTCCATTTACTTTCTAGTTTTGGGGGTATAAATTCTTCTATGTGTTATCTGCTTACCTTGCTTTAAAGTAGTTCATTTGCTTGGGAAATTTATTGCTTTTTTAACTGGAAATTCGTTTTCTGTGGACATTATTTTCCATGGGAGTTGTAAGCATCCTAAAGAAGCTTTCCTTTAAGGAAGTTTCACACTTATTTTTGTCCGGACCTCAGGGCCTTGATTCCACTGATTTTGGACCAGATAGCAAGTGTTAATTCCTTAGCTCTATGTCCTCATTACTTGAGTCATGTGAATTGTGACACACCTCCATGCTGTAATGTCCCTCTAGGTAACTTTTTCCTACTCGTTGCCCAGGGGATACATGAAGCTCTTTGATAATTCCCCATATTGACAGGCATAATTTCTGTTTTTTCCATAACCTCTCAACTTAAAAAATATATACTTTATTTTGCAGTATTGGGGTCTGAACTCAGCGTAGGTAGGTATTCTACCATTTGAGCCATACCTCCAGCCATAACCTGCCAACTTTATATTAGTTCTTCACATGCAAAAGGCCTGTATTCTGGACTCTCCTTCCTCTGTGGTTATTTCTCCTTATGCCATGAAAATTAAGACCTGTCCAGTTCTGAAATGCCATGAACAATTTTGGTTTTGGTTCCTGTTCACTATTAGATTTAAATTACTTTTATGTTTTTGGCATGTAGGGTTTTTGCATTCATATTATGAGCTTGGCTATATATTTATATTGTAAAGTTTCCCCCTTATTTTCCAGGTTTTTTTCAGGGTTGTTGCAGATTCCACATTCTTTTGTGACTTTTCAAGTCTGTCACATTGATTAGAAACCAATCTTTCCTTTCATTATGATCTAGCAAGCTAGTTTTAAATTTCCTTCTTTCTCTAGTCTAAGACTCAATAAATTCCACTCTTTTACTTCAGTTAGCAAGTGGGTACTCAACTCAGAAATAAACAAAAGTCTTCTCCAACACAGTATGGAACAGAAGAGAAAGATGAAATTAATTTCAAATAATCACTGCCTAGAAGATTAAGTAAAAAAATTAACACAGTGCCTGGGACATAAATGTTTAATAAATGGCTGGACCTATTTTTATACAAATGTGGGAAGTACCATATTTATTTTCAGTAGGTAAAACAGTAGTGATAATCTAAGTGGATACTAATATGAAAATCTTTGTGAAGTTTAATCACCAAGATGACAAACTGAGTAATAGAAATTTCATCATTTTCTTGAAACTTCAGCAGAGAAACACGAAACCTAGAAAGAAATGGTTTTCTCCATCATTTTTAAAATTTAGAATCCAGGTAAGATCTATTTTCTGAGGAACATTTTTCAAAATTTCAGTTATACATAAGTTGGGAAAATAATTTTTTCTCCATGAGTTCCAAGATAACAATTTTTATTAAGATAATCTAAAATGCTATTATTCAGATAAGAGTCTGTCTAGAATGAGACATGTGAAATAAAAATCCATTTTAGTTAACACATAAGTCTAATAGGTAAGGTTGGTACAGACTGGACATTATTATTTGCTGTACTGGGGATTGAACTCAGGGCTTTGTATGTTAGGCAAGCCCTCTACCACTAGTGTACACCTCCAGCCCCTGGAAATTGGTATTATTTAAAGAAAGATCAAAAAGTTTTTAATGGAATTATTAAAAATATCTCACTTTCATAACATGTAACAATAAACAAAAAACATATCAAATAGTTTGGAAAAGAGCCAGGCATGGTTGTGCAAACCGGTAATCCAAGTTACGCAGGAGGATGGGAACTTTGAGGCCAGCTGGGGCAAAGTGGGGTAAGACCATATCTCAAAAACAAAATATAAACAAAAGACCTGGGGGGCATAGCTCAAGTGGTAGAGCATTTGCATAGCATGTGTGAAGACCTGGGTTCAATCTCCAGCACTGCCAAAAAAATTAAAAAGTTTCATTGAGACATCAAATGCCAGACAGTATAGAACAAAAATGACAGCATTATCTCTGTCTAGGTGGAGAGAATGAAAACAAAATAAAACTACACTAAAACCAAGATAGAAGTAAAATGCTAAAAATCTAATTCAGAGAGATGATCCCATATAGAGTCTGATTGCAACCAAATCTCTTCAAGTGTACCCTAACAGAAGTAAATTGTATTATGAAATCACTTCAGAAATGAACCAAAAGTTCAAACCAGTCAATTTAATAGCAAAGAAAGAAAGGATATAAGACTTATTTTTAAAGTTTATTAATAGTTACTATCAAATAAAATTAGACTTCCTACTTGATTACTTTCCTGTTAACTAAAAAGTATGTATTTTCAGGGATGTGCTACTTCACAGAGAAACAACCTAAGTATGTTTATTGTTATTCTCACTTTTAAAATTTATTATTAACACATTTATTGTGACAAATGATGTGCACTTGATATAGATATTTCATGTTTTAAAAAGGGAAGATTAACACAAAAATGCCAATAAAAGTCACTTTTGAAGTAAAAGACAATGATATTCTACACATAGAAAAATTGCTTGTTTTATATTGACAGTGTGAGAGCACCTCCAAATGGGTGATAGGATGCTTGCTGCTAAGTTTGAAGCAATTTCTTTTGTTAACAAGGAAAATATGTTGTCAGCTTTTTAAGGAACTATAATTTATAACAAATACTCACATACTGAAAAAAGCCAGCAAACACTGTTGGGCAGAATTCAAATATCTAACATTTGAATTTCCTAGCAATGTTAATAGTACAACACAGAATCACATGGTAAAATTGCCAATTTAAGGACTTTTCTGCTTCCAGAAATTGCTATTTCTTGTGATGTCACCCATAAGAACAGTCTAAAGTATACTAGTCATATATACATACAAATACTTTAATTGGAAGATTACCTCATTGTTAGCAGCACACACTCATAATATGGCTGCAGTCACACATAAGACTGTCTGATGAGATTGTGACCACTTTTCTTATACATACAATTGTCCTGGTTCCTGAAGGTATCAACCTTAACCTTCAGCAGTGCTTGTTATTTTTTTCTCCTTTCTACTTGAAGTTAATGTTTTCCTCTAAGCAACAGAATCTATGTTGATGTTTAAGCTCTTTTAAAAATACATTTTACGATTTTAATTTGTGTAGTACTGGAAATTGAATTCAGGGCTTTGTGCTTACTAGGTGAGTGCTCTACTAATTGAGTGATACCCCCAGCTTTCTTTTTACCATTTTAATCCATGACTGCTGTTCAGATAGCTTAACAACATCTTTAAAAATATTTTAAATAGTTTAATTGACATAATTATACATGTCAATGAGGCACAATGCAATGTTTCAATACATGTATACATACAATGTGTAATGATCAGATCAGGTAAATGGGATATCTATCACATCACACATTTACCATTTGTGTTGACACCATTCAAATTTTTCTCTACTGGATTTTATGAAATATACACCTAAATATCAACCACAGTTACACTGCTGTGCTGTAGGACATCAGAAATTATTCCTCCTATTGATTGTATCCTTGTACCATTCTCTCTCTACCTTCCACCCCTATTCTTAGCCTCTAGTAACCACTATTACAGTTACTTTCCCTTTTGGGATGATATCTAACAGTACTTTTGACAATGATCTAAACCAATAAAAAGCACTTATATTTTACTAGTAGCAGGTATGACACAACATATCAAATAATAATCTGTATATAATAGTATTGTATAAAGTTTCACAAATAATAAACAACAGCAACATACGCTGGAGGGTGATTGACGTGCCTGGCTTATTTCCTTTTGTTTGTGCAGAAGCTTCTGGCTGAGGCACAGCAACTCTTCAAAGGATAAAAATAAGATAACCAACAGTTATAAAAAAGAGACTTGACTGGAAAGAAAAACCTAATTGGTTCTATTCAGAATTCATTTTAAGCCAATAAATTTAGAAAATATACAGGTTAAATTTCTTGAAGTGATGCATTAAAATACACATGTAATTATGGAAAATATCCGTATATAATATAATTCAAACATTGCAGTATATTTCAATTTTCTTTGAAGGAGTATTCCATAAAAGGGGACATTTAACCTTATTAAGTATCAACTAATGAGCAAGTACTTTCATTTTCTATGATGGGAATTTAAAAATTAGTACAATGGCTTAATTTTCATGTTTTCTTTGGTCAACAACTCTGGAAAACAACCTTGCCTATTTCTCAAACTTCATTTCATGTCCTTTTGTTAGTTCCATACTGCTTCAGACCTTCTTGCTTTTCTTTCTGAGTAAAATAGTCTTTTGCCCCTTTTCTTCTGCCTGGTTAATTCCCACCCACCCTTCAAAATTTAGCTCAATAATTATTTCCTAACAAGAAACCTTCCCTAATCTATCAAGTATAACTGCTCCTAGTAGGTGCTGGTATAATACCACAAATAAACAAACTATCATAGTATGCATCATACTGCATTGAAATTATACGTTTTTAAATGAGATAGCTACAAGGAAAAATTAAAAAAATAGAAAACAAAAAACCCCAAAAAACCAAATTACAGGTTTTTTAAGTTTGTACCTTCTACAAGATTAAGCTTTCTATAAAAGTATAGGCTTTGTTTTATTTGGTTTTGTGCCTTCATATAATAGCTGCTCAATAACTAAGCATTTTGTTTTGAAGCTAAAAAGAGTAACGCTTTCATAAGGAAATATCTCCATCTGATGGGTTTTAGTAATAATACTGCAATGAGTTTTATTTTTTTACTATTGTTGTATTTCCAAAGTTAAAGGCATAAAGTGAAGCAAAATGTCATGTAATAGAATGCCACATCATATTTCTCAACTTATTAATAGAATTTTCTTATATATAATAGTATTATTATCTTTGATAGCTATTAATGAAGTAAAGACAGTAGTATCCATGAAACATGGAAGCACCATTTAACTGTAAAATTCTGACAAATAAGAACATACTTTATACTTATAGTTTTAATTTTTCAGTTATTGAAAAATAATTTTCTACAAATTAGTAAACATATAAGCTTTAAGAGAAATCTAAATAACTAAAAATAGTTAAGTTACATGTATTTTGAGATCCTTAAGTAGCATGTAAATGCTTTTTTAAAAGTGTCATCATAAAGTGATTTTATTTCTGTTCTTTAAGCCACCTAGTTTGTTGTACTCTGTTCTAGAAATCCTAGCAAACTAATATATATTTTGTTACTGGGAATTGTGAAAACAAATACCTAAAAATGTGGAAGTGGCTTTGATATTAGATATTGAGTCAAAGCTGAAAGAATTTTGAAGGGCATAATAGAAAAGGTCTAGATTTTCTTGATAATAGTGTAGAAATATGAATTTTAAAGGAGAATTTGGTGAGGGCTTAGAAAGAAAAGAGAATTGTAAAGAAAGCTTCTGTCATTTTAGACAATACATATATTGTCATGAACAGAAATGCAGTTAGAAATAGGATTATAAAATGTGTTTCTGGTGAGGCTTCAGACAGAAATGAGACATGTACTGGTAGAAAGGTGATTCTTCTTACACAGTGGCAGAGGGCTTAGTTAAATTGGACTCTGGGTAGAAAGCTGAACTTGTAAGTGATAAAGCTGAGGAAATTTCTAAGCAAAGTGTTGAAGGCATGGCCTAGTTTCTACTTCTTATTTATAATAAAACAGAAGGAGAGAGATCAATTGATGGGGGATTACTTAGCAAAAAGGAATGTGAAGATCTAGAAAACTGTCAGCCTATCAATATTGCAAAAAATGAGAAAATTAGCACTGGAGGGATCACCAGAGTTATGTCTAGGGAATAATTTGCACAGATTCGCCTATGGATCCAATCAACTATCAAAGCAGGATGGCTGCCAGCATGGACTATAGAGGATATAGAAATGATGAAATGAAGGATGGTTGTCAGACTTCTGAGATTCTACACACAGGAAATTAGTTGACAGAAATACTTGGCTGTAAATATGTGTTATTTTTCAAGAAAGGGGAAGAATGACCTTGTTAGCAGGGCTATCTCCTTGGTTCCAGAGGGCAGGACCACCTTTTCAATTTCAGAGGATGGGACCATGTCTTTGGATCCAGAGTGTGGGACCACATGCACAGCTGAGTGAATGGGGTACCTTAGTGGGACTGGAGACATAGCACAAGCAGAGAGAATAATTCTGAAGACTTGAAAATCTAGTGGAAATTTCTCTGCTAGGGTTTGGAATTGCTTGTGACTTACGACTCCTTTTTTCTTTCCAGTTTTTCTCTTTTTGAAATGGGACTGTTTATCCTATTCCTGTCCCACGATTGTATTTTAGACAGATAAGTTGTCAGTTTTCATGGGTTTACAGATGGAGAATTTTGCCCTCAGCTGTATCACCCATAAGATTTAGAAAATTTTTAGGTAAGATTCTGGACTAGAGTTCATATTGCTATAGGTTAAGACTTTTGAAGATGTTGTGGTGGAATATATATTTAGATGGGAGAAGGACATGGATTTTGGGGGGCCAGCAGGCACACTGTTAAGGAATGAATTGTGTATCCCCCACAAATTTGTATGATGAAGTCCTAATGCTGAGTACCTCAGAATGTGCCCTTATTTGGAAACAGGTAATTGCAGATATGACTGATTATGTTAAGATAAGCTCATATAGGAGTAGGGTGGTTCGGTAATTCAGTATGACTGATACCTTTATAAAAGGGGTAAATTTGGGCACAGACATGCATACAGGGAGAACTCCACGAGAAGGTGAAGGCAGAGATGGGTTTGATGCTTCTGTAAGTTAAGGAATGCCAAAGATTACCAGCAAACTAGCAGAAGTGAGAGGGAAAGCATGAATGCTTTGCATATATGTAATGCAAGCAACTTACGGTTTAGCACATGTGCCTTGAAGAATTCTTCTTTTCCTGCTGGGACTCGAACTTGTAGACGGAGTTTGAAAACATTGAGAATTTATAGGCCTGTCATCTTGATGCTGTTTACCATCTCTTTCCTGACTATGACTTTCTCCTGTAGCTGCTTGAGATGTTGAGGGTTGGCTATCATTCTGAAATCAACAATTTAGAGAAAACATTTAAGAACTGTACAAAAATTATTTCTCGTTTTAAAAGACTCTATAATTTTAGTTTGCCCATTTTTTCATAATTTTAAGAGTTAGACTTTGCAATTGGTACATTGTTTTTATAAAGATGACTAAGTCTAATATATTTTGTATTAAATATTTTAGGAGGAAGATAAAAATTTTATTATAGTAGTATAAATGAAAAGTTGGATTATTTATTTCCATATAAATAGAAATCCTAGAAATAGTTTTTATAAAGATAACTCATGGGAAAAATCAACTTGTTTTGATTTTGCCTAGATTCCAGAACTAGCCTCTTTTACTAGACCATTTATCCTACAAGAGTTATTGCTATCTCTTATAGAACCTGGGTAAGTCTGCCATGCCAGATATAGAGGTAAAAACTTCCTGAGGAAGCTTTCTTGTTATTGTGTCCTGCACAAAAGTAAAGAAAATGATTTAGCCATATATACCATTTGTAAATTTAAGATATTCATGACAGGCTTGAATTATACAGAAAATAAGGACAAAGTCTGATGGCCTTGGAAAATGTCAGAGGTTGTGACCATTACCAGTACCTGTCCAAAAATAAATCACAGAAAAAGGAAAAAGGAAACAACAACAACAACAACAAAACTAAAAAATTTTTTTCTCTTAGGTTTACATCATTAAGAGTCAATACATAATATTTAAGGTACTAATTGCAATCATGATCACAGTGCTTCCAGAGCACTACTAGTTCACTGGCACCATACCCGAGGTGTTTCTGAGGCTGAGGCACTTTCAGTTGCACAGTTATGGCGGGCATACTTTACAACAGTAATTATCCCTTGAACTGCAATACGCTTTTGTTCTCTATACTGCAAGTTTTCAATCACCTTCCTCACTTCACTCACAGCTGTCAAGAGGGACTCAACTGCAAAAGAATTATTCCAAAGAAATGATAAGTTTTAAAAAAAATTTAATCAGCATATATTCATTGTATGGGGGGGATTTTGTTGTGACACTTCTGAATAGCCTTACATTATACATTGGTCAGAATGCCCCCTCCATCTTCCCCCCAACCCTGCACCATCCCACTTAAAGCAATTACAAGAGGTTTTATCATTCTGTTTCCTTTATGTATATGAAGTCCATTGACCCTATTCCTTCATCTTCATCTCTTTCATTTATGTGAAAACTTATGGATACAGAAAAGCAGTTTAAGAGGGAATTTCATAGCAATAAATGTCTACATCAAGAATAGAAGCATTTCAAATGTGTACCCTAACAATACATTTTAAAGACCCAGAAAAGCAAGAGCAAATGAAACATAAAATTATTAAAAGGAAAGAAATAACAAAATCAGAAATAAGTGATGTAGAGACAAAAAAATTCAAAAGATCAATAAAACAAAAAGTTTTTAAAAAGATAAATAATGTTGCCAAACCTTTAGCTAGACTAAAGAACTGAAATGATAAAAAAATAAGAATTAGATTTGCAATGTAATTTCATAACATGAAATTATAAACTTGCAATATTAACATAAATGTGAGACTTTGTGCTTATATTTGGCATCCTCTTGTATAATTTTTGTAATATAGTTAAAATACATTTATTGGTTAAATTGCGATATAGGCTTCTAGTCTGAAATCTTCACTTGCAATAGAAATTTTGCATGCTGATTATAATTTATGTGTATTTCAAACGATAATGAGTTGCTTGCTCACTGCATAGAAAAACATTCTAGTTATTTCAGCCATATTGCTCACATTAGGACATATAAGAGGATGCCAATATTTAGATGATGACAGGTCAGCATTTCAATGTTTATTTTTCTCCAAACCATGCAACTATCTCATAGTTTTTTTATAAAGGACATATTGATACTAAACTTTTCAGCTGTCATATAGTAATTCTACTTTAATTAGTGTTAGGTCTCTCATCAATAACCTCAATTCCAAATTCAGCATCACATTTATTTTGATAACATTTTTATTTAAAGGTAGTACTCAATTATTTTATTACATACACTATATATGTATATATATATACACATATACACACACACACATATATATATATATATACATATATATAGTGTGTATACACACATTTATCAACCCACAAGAGTAGCACAATCTAGTTGTCAATTATCTGTATATCAAATTGCCTAGTGTCTTTTTAGAAATCTAGTCTTTCTATGTAATGTCACAAGCTGAGATTTACCAAAGTCAGATCTCATATCAATGACATTAAATCAAGAATTATCTCTAGTTAGTCATCTTCTACATTCTCTTTTCTTTTAAGAGGCACTGTGTGTGTACTAGATCTACATTAAGACAAAACTACTGCCAGTGAGTAATGTGACTCTTTAGCTTAGTCCTGTAAAATAAAGATGACTAAATGAAATAATATATTACTATAAGCATAAAATATAAATATATCATGATGTGACTGGCAATTACATCAGTACCTTTCACATGATGACTATACTTGGAAAATGTCTCTGGAACTGGTGGATAGGGGTAGTATCCACCAATAACTGCATTCACTTCCTCAGAATCAGTTTTCGTTTTAATCCACTGAATAAAGTTTTTAACCTTGGCATCACAGGCATAAGACTGGCCTCTTTGGCCTCCTTTCAGAAAGAGTAAAATGCGCGCCGGGGAGAGAGAGAGAGAGAGAGAGAGAGAGAGAGAGAGAGAGAGAGAGAGAGAGATATCACTGTAATAATTTGTATGATTGTATGGACTTTTTATATAAAAGCTTAATATTAAAAGTCTTTCATATCAAAAGAAAAAAAAGTCAAGTTCACTTATTCACTATGTGGCACTATCTAAAGACAGTAAACAAATCCTAAGATAATCAGACATATTAGAACTTATATAGGCTAAAAACTACAGGGGAAAGAATTAAAAAAACCTTGTTTTTCTAACTGCCTAGATGGTTGGCATCCTCTGAAAAAAAGCTGACTTTTGGATTGTTTAACTTGGAAGTATGACATCTGTAAGAACTAAACTGCCAGTGAATATAGCTCAGCATTTAAAATTCATGTTCTGATGGCATACTAAAGAGTGGCATATTTAATCATACATTTTTAATATTTATAAAATAAGGTACTGACAAAATGTATTATTTCCTAGAAATATTCTTTTGAAAAATTTGTTAATTTCCAACATGGTAGCATTCTAATAAATACCTCATTCTACACTATTCCCTCATTCTCTCATTTGGATACTTTATTGGTTTTGGAGGGAACAGAAAAAAATAATGTTAGTCACCCCTCAGTTTCTATGGAGGACTGGTTCCAGAATTCTTGTAGATATCAAAATCTGCAGATGCTCAAGTCCCTTATAAAAAATGTCATATTTGCATGTGAACAATATACACCCTCATGTATATCTTAAATCACCTTTAGATTGCTTATAACACTTAATACGATGAAAATGTAATGTAAATAATTCTTATATTATATTGCTTAGGGAATAATGAGAAAAAAGTTGTGCATGTTCAGCACAGATACAATTTTTTCAAGTATTTTTGATCCAATGTTGGTTAAATTTATGGATGTGGAACTCACAGATACAGAGGGCTGACGTTACTTGTAGACAAATAGTAAGACTTCTTTATACAAGTAATATGTAAGATGTTGGTGGCAAAATTTAACACAAATATTTTGTTTCATTTAGGACAATTTAAAAATAACATTAGCTGAATCCATACTCTAGTGCTGGGCCTAATAGTCTTAAATCTAGCAAGTAATTTGGGGTTCTCTACATTCCATATCAAGCAGGAAATAAAGGTAATCAAAGGAAATAAACACAATTCTCCAATGAGCCACAAAGTCATTTCTTCAATCAGAAGTAATCTAGAAGAGGTATATTTCATCAGCCAAATATTCCTTGCTAAAAATTTTATATTGATAAAGAGGTCAAAATAAAGCTATCTTGTAGTTGAATGTTATAATTTAAAAGGTGATGTGTGATAAACAGTTCTAGTGAAAAGACAATATACTATACTTTCAATAAAGTAATATAAAAAGAAATTACTCACTAGTAATAAACACTCGACTTTCATTTGTAGTGGTAAGGTAAAGCAGTTTAGGTACTTGGGTGTCATTTCTGACAACTTTCAACTGTGTACACACAAAATGTGTCACTGTAGAAAATGAAAACACTTAAGAAATTACTTTTGTTTTTCAAGGAGTACATATCAAGATCAAGATTTAGTCATTAAAATATCATTAATCCAACATTATTTCTTATTTTAACTTATTACATGTCCAAATAACATTTTATAAACCAATAAATAAATAAATGCAAAATTTTTGTAATCACACAAAAATAGGTCCTCATTTAAGAATAAAACTTTCTCCAGAGCATAACTATAAATTTATTTGCTGTATCTCCTCTTACTAGTTCTTTATTCTGTAGCAATGTAAATAAAGAAAACCTGTTCCAATCCTAAGACTGGTTTTAACTTGTATTGCTTTCCTTATTTTAAAAACTGTACAAACATATGAATATTAATGGCTAAAGGTGCTGATATATTAGTATTAAAGAAACCTCTAAAATCTGTTAGAATAGTAGATATTCTATAATGTGCTTTTGCCACAGTGAAATTAAAATAAATAAATCTCTTATTCTAATTTAATGGCCATTAGAAACTTGCCACCAGAAAACACTTAGACCTGATAAAAAAAAACTTTCAGGAAATTAGCAGGATAAAAAATCAACATACAAAAATCAGTAGCTTTACTTTTATTGGGATTTGAACTGCTCAGGGCCTTGAACTTGCTAGGCAAGCACTCTACCACTTAAGCATGCCTTCAGCCCTCAGTAGCTTTCCTGTGTAACAATGAACACACTGAGAAAGAAATCAGAAAAATGATCCTGTTACAACAGTCTCAATAAAATCCCTAGGAATAAACCTAACCAAGGAGGTAAAAGACTTCTATAAAGAAAACTATAAAACACTAGAGAAAGAAAATGAAGAAGACACCAGAAGATAGAAAGACCTGCCATATTCATAGGGTGGCAGATTTAAGATTGTAAAAACCATGGCCATATTACTGAAAGTAATCTACAGATTCAATGCAGTCTCCTTTAAAACTCCAATGACATTCTTCACAGAACAAGAAAAAAAATCCTGAAATCCATATGGAATCACAAAAGACCCTGAATATCCGCTCCAATCTTGAGCCAAAAGAGTGATGCTGGAAGTGTTGCGATACCTGATTTCAAATTATACTACAAAGACCTAGTATCCAAAGCAGAATGGTAATGGCACAAAAAGACACAGACCAATGAAAGAGAAAATAGGACCCAGAAATAACCCACACAGCTACAGCCATCTGATTCTTGATAAAAATGCCAAAAACATACATTGAATTGGAATTCTATCTCACCCCAATCAGAATGGCTATCATTAAGAAAATAAAAAGCAGCAAATGTTGGCAAGGATGTGGGAGTGAGGGGATAACCTTATACACTACTGATGGGAACATAAAGTAGTGTGGTCACTGTGGAAATCAGTATGGAGGCTCCTCAAAAAACTAAAAATAGAACTGTCATATAATTCAGCTATACCACTCCTGAGTATAAACAAAGGAATTAAAGTCAGTATATAATAGAGATACCTTTATAACCATGTTTATTACAGCACTATTCACAATAGCCAATCTACAGAATCTACCTAGATACCCATTAACAGATAAACAGAAAAAGAAAATGTGGTATATATATACATAAGAGTATTACTGAGTTATAAAGAACAAAATCCTGTCATTTGTAGAGAAATGGATGGACCATGTTAAATGAAATAAGCCAGACTCAGAAAGGCAAATATCACATATTTTCTCTCATATGTGGAATCTAGATTTAAAAGAAGACATGAAAGTAGAAGGGGGACTATTTTGGAAGAAGGGCACTAGCAGGAGTTGGGGTGGGGACAAGACAGAGAAATGAAGGGTGAATATGATCCAAGTATGTTCTGTACATATATAAAAATGTCATAATGAGACCCATTATTTTGTATGATTAATATATGCCAATGTATGAGAATAGTATAATGAAACCTATGAAAAACTGTTTAAAAGGGGTGGAAGAGAAGTAGCTGGGTATGTTGGTTTATGCCTGTAGTCCCCAGATTGAGGAGGCATAAGTGGGAGGATCACAGTAGGAAGCTGGCTAGGCAAAAAGTAAGACTCTGTCTGAAAAGTAACTTCAACACAGTATCTGAAGCAACTTCAGGGTTGGGGGGCATGACTTAAGTGGTGAGGCCCTGAGTTCAAACCTCAGCAGTGCCAAAAAAAAGGGTGGGGAGGAAGCAGAGGGTTAAGAAAGCACAATAGAGGGGGTGAATTTGATCAAAGTACATTGTACACAAGTATGGAAATATCACAGTGAAACTCCTTTGTATAATTAATTTATGCTAATAAAAAATCTGAGAGTCAGATCTAGTATATTTTGTTTGACATCCAGGAAATAATGTTTTTGGATGCACTTTCACCTGAAAATTTATAATAAAATCAACTCTCTAAAAGGTAACTGAGAGCAGAAAAATAAATCATATAAGCATATGATATAAAACAAATTATATATCAGCTTCCCCTTAGTTCTTCACTTTCCTTAATCAAAAAAAGTTGTATTACTAAATGATAGAGATATTCCAGACAGACTCTTAAGACATGCCTCCCCGCATAGGCTGCAGCCTTAATACTCACCATACATTTAATGATTTTTTTCCTTTAAAGATGAAAATAGTAAATTATTATCAACTATTGTATTAGAATAAATTTCACCAAGGTCCATACATATTTTTTTTAGCAAGATACATTTCACATTTTGTATGGATGCTTGGCAACGTTTCTGTGAGAAATCCTTACCCAAAACTTACATTAAACAGCTACGTATTTTTAACATAGCTACATATTGAAGATGGATTGGCTATAAAACCCTCCCAAAATAAGGTAATGAAAATATCACCTGAGTCTTTTATTGTCAATCATTTATGCCCCAAGAGAAGTTATATGGGAGCATATAGCCCATTGGCCTTGAATGTCCATGGCATGGTTATAGATAAAATTCTCTTTCCTGAAAAGTTGGCATGAGATTCTGTTCAGATCATTAAAAATTTTTATTTCAGAAGCCAAGGGTAGAATCTAATGAAGCAGAAGTGTGTACAACTGTTTTGCATGGAGGATAACAGGGCAGTAGATCTCTAGATCGCCTAGTAGTCTATAATTTCTCCTTAATGTTGGTTAAAAGATTATTAGTAGTAAATATTGGGAATTTCCCCAATGTTGGCAAGCAAAAATAACAAAACAGCATACCATATTTAAAATAGCTTTATGCTCTGAATTTGAGTAAGGAAATAGTCACTGAAATTGTTGAAAAGTATTAAATATATTTCCTATCATGATAGATCTGAAACTAGCCTCCTATATTTTCAAATAAACACATTTAGTGGAAAAATACCTTTATATTCAAATGAATGCAGAGGAAAAGTCAATGCTAAAGTAAGCAGAACACTGATAAGCTGGTATAACACACCAACCTAATATCAAATGCAATCATACTTGCCATGTCATAATTTAATTACACAGTCTGCCCATTCTTTAGTAATTAATGCCATGTTAGTAAAGTCTTTGATGTCTTTAATGAGACTACTTAGTTAACTTCTAAATGGATATACAGTAAACTGACTACCCATGTTTGCTTTAGCTTTACTGAATCTTAAGCTTTTCTATGTGTGAAATTCTAACAATGAGAATTGATAAGACCACCTATTTTCTGAAAAACTGGCTTCAATTCCAAGATAGTTCTTGGATAGACAACCACCAGGTGGTTAATATCTGTAATACTAAATATGTTACAAATACAGAAAAAATTTAAGCATGCTCTCTGACTTCTTGAGTTTGCTAACTCATTATAATGCCACTTCTATAAGTCAGCTTATTCTATTAATTTTAAAGTTAATATTCCTACTTTCAAAAATAAAAATAAAAACATTAAGAATTGAGTACTTGGATAAATATTTTCAAAGATCTCTGGCTGAGATGTAGAAAACAGTTCCACTATGAATGGTTGTTCTGAAGTCCCATCAGTAATGTGAATCCAGCGGTAAGACCAAAAATCTTCACGGTTTTCTGTATGGATAGAATATTAAAAATAAATGAGGGCAGTGGATTATATGCATACAAACACAAGACTATTTACTTTTTGTTATTTTCAAATTTAAAAGCTTACCTTTCTTTTTTGATCGCTGGACCCTTCCTACAAAAGATAACACACCAATCACATCACAGATATGATTTTCTGGCATATTGTCCAGTTCTGATCTAAAAAAGCAAGATTATAAAATTGATGTTGTATCTTTAAACAGTGAAAAAGGCATTCTATATTAATGTTTATGAAAATTTTTATCTGCATAATTACTACACTTTAACTTAAGGTAGATTTTGTGAAAATTATAATGTGTTAATTTTTAGTAACTAATGTTTGAAAATTAATATTTAAGACATTTGACAAGGAATTATTTTACCTTGTGACAAATCGGTGATTTAGTTTTGGCAGTCTCCATTCTGGCTTCACCTGATTTTCTGGAATGATAACTATATTAGTTGAAGGATTTCGAAGATTCAGGCAGATTTCTGAAAAACAAATATATTATCTTAATGTGGTATTTAATCTGTACTAAATATACATGTGCACAAATTATACAGCAAACTGTATAAATAGACTGAATATTTTTGATCCCACCATCAAATGTAAGAACTAGACCATTATTAATGGTCTTCTTCTCCTTCCTTATAATGTTGACTTCTCTCCCCATGAAAGTTCAACCATACCTTGAATTTCGTGTTGTATCATTTCCTTAAGAAGAGGTTTTATCATTTATGTATTTTTGCCCAAACAAAATACTGGTTGGTTTTGTTTTAAAACATTGTTTGAATGGAATTATACCATACAGAGTATTCTGGGACTACTTTTTTCACTCAACATTATATTGCTAAAATTTATTCATGTAGCAGACTATTTCATTTCCACAACTGAACACTATTCCACTTTGATAAAATACTACAATTTATCTATCCATTATTGTGTTGGTCAATATCTGGATTATTTTCAGGTTTTGTTTATATAAACAAGGATGCTATGAACATTTTTGTATGTCTTTCTGTGCACAGAATTTT